CAACTGGCTTTGGGGGTTAAAAAAACAAAACAAAGACAGACATTCTGGGACGTAATGCACATTTTTAAGCTTTCACAGAAAGTTTATCAATGGCTATAAAACTCTAGCTGTGCATAGAGCCCATTAAAAATGACCAAATATCGCATACCAGCATAAATACCAGTTATACCAGATAACTGCCTAAACTTACTGAATGCCATTTTGATTTATAGCGAAAATTTACTCTTGAAACTCCTCCTAGACCATTTCTCTGAATTTCACCAAATCGGGCCCATATCATCTTCATACCCTACAGACTCAAAGTAATCAAACATTTTTTTTTTTTTGATAATCTAAACCTTTTTGGAATAATGTAACAATGAAATATCTTTGAACAGTACCAAAAAGCATATGAGCTTGTATTTCTGCAAAGCTTTGTATTATTTACATTTTAATATTTCAGAAAAATAATCTTAGAATGAATTCAGCCAGTCAATGCGTGACTTGACTTGCTCTCTGCCAAGCTTGCTGCTCATTCTGCCTCCAGACTGCTTGTTGAATATACGGGCTTTCAACCATTTTGCTCTCCGGAATGATCTCCTAAAATCTCTACTTTGTTGGTTTTTCCAGTTTCTCTTGTGCTTGCTGCCATGCCTGTTCTTTCTGCCTGATTGGCCCCTTTATTGCTTCCTGCAGCTATATTTTAACCTCTTATTTTGTTCAGATCTGAGTGAAGTGTTTTTGTGTAGGTGATTACATCTTTAGAGGTCTCTTGAATGCATCAGACTCCACTGTCAAACTCACAAGGGGAATCTAGCTTTAGAAAGACACAACAAGACATTCATAACCGTACAGTGAGGAATTCTAAAACTACCGCATTGCAGAGATGTGTGTCGTTGGATCCAGTTGCACATTAGTATATTGAGAGATATTTTTTATTTTAAAAAAATAGTCATTTTGCATTCATTGGACTGCACTGTTTCTAATGTGACAGTCGCAATCCTATCATTCTATATCATTCCATTCCAGCAGTTTTCCCCACTCCTATAGATGACATTCAGAATTCCAGCATTAAGATAAATGTTGTTCATATAACAGCTCCGGTCCAAAAGCTCTCTGAGGTTCCTCGTCTCCACCAAAGAAGCTGTTGAGGTCTCTGCTATAATGCAGATTAATGCACCAGCCCAGACTATGTGCCTGGAGACATCAGTGATAATCAAAGAAAAAAAAAAAACTTTGGGATGGACAGAAAAAAAAGGAATGAAGATAAAGGAGCATAAACAAAGCTTGTTAATCACTATTGTTCTGCTCCCCCTGCCTTTACTGTATTGTGCTGAGTTAAATATAAAACAAAATAAAGAAGGATGCAGTTTTTTGGTCTTCATCCAAGGTCTTAACCTAAACACAATACTCTTGTGTCACAATTGAATATTACCTGACCTGAATCTCTCATTATCAAGTGTGTGGTTATACATGTGAATGTACATGAGTGATTTGGTCTCTGCAGATGAATCAGTTTTAAGGAAAACATCTCGCCACAGGGATTGTGCATGAATGACAGCTGTAGGCCCTTCATTTGAATGTAGAAACATCCCCGTTTGTGTGTGTGTTTTTTTTAAGATAATCATGATATCTTTGTCTGCACGGAAAGGTTTCATAAATATTCACTGACCTCCTACTTCATGTTTTGCGACATCACTCGCTGGCATCCTCGCTTCTCATTTGCACAGCAGACTCATGCAGAGTTCATGCTGAAATGGGAGAGCCATTGAGATTCAGACATTAGATGTCATTATGATATTTTGAGCTCTTCAGAGGTGATCTGTACAAGTGCTGTACTCCAATCAACTGCAGAAAAGGTTGTTTGCTAGCGTATAATCATTTCTGCAGGTGTTCAGATTCTGCTTTTGTTTTTCTGTGGGCTCAGGGCCTTCATTTAGAGCTAAAAATGATAGAACGCAAAAAAAGAATAGCAGACTAAACAAAATGAGTTTTTAATGCAGTTAGCATACAGTGAACATTTAGAAATGCTCCGAATGAGTTCTGTAATTTCTGTACATTTATTTTTACAACGTTTAATAATGAATATTGTACCAAAGAATCTTATATATAACTGCAAATAATACAGTGAGCATTTAGAAATGTATTCTATATAAAATATATTCTATATAAATATTTTTATAACTTTTAATAATGAATATCAAACCAAAGCAGCTTATATATTGCTGCAAATTATAGTTTATGAGCTAGACAAAAACTGAGACCTACACTCTAACAAAACAGAAAAATAAGACATTAGCCATTGTATTAATATGAAAGATTTTCACATATTATTTTACTGTTTTACTTGTATTTTGAATTTTGATTTTGAAAATTAACTATTTTGTGTTGGCAACAGCACTGCCATATACAAAATTTTGACTTGAAGTTTTGAAAAATTGAAACAGGAAAAAATATTTTAAAATCCACTTTTCACCCAACTTACCAAATTCTGTTGCATTCAGTGTGCTAAAAATAAGTCACGGATTAGCCCAGCAGGCACAAATTAGATTCATGACGTCAGGTGACCAAATTTCAATGTCTATCCAGCGTCTAAGGACAACTTTATTTTGGCGTCCAATAATGGCATCAAATTATGTTGATATTTGGTTGATTTTAGGTTGTGTTGGGAAGTGACCAAAACTGATAAATGTCATAGCGATAACGTCCACACAGCATCAAGGTGCAACATGATTAGACATTGATTTTTGGTTGACTTTAGGACCTTAATGTCAATCCGATTTTCATTTCCAAACAAAATCTAACGCCCCTACGATGTTGAGGTACAACGTCAATGTGACAACGTTTTGCCATCCTGTGCCAGCAAGGAGGTGAAAGCATGGATAATTACTGCATAGTCACATCATGTGATCTGTTTCAGAACAGTCAAATTACTGGCATCAAGCAAAGAAACATCTTTTAGAGATTTCTGAAACAACTAAAATTGGATTAGGAACCATACAATGTGTCCAAAAAACTTAAATTATAGTGGGGTACCATCATATTTGAATTAAAAATGTGGTCAGAAAAAAATATTGAATCACATCAATCTCTGCTGAAATCAAATAATATAAAATAACAGTAGAATTAACAGCTAGGTTTTAATAGTGAACATGGAACACACGGGATTGAGCCTAAAAATCTCTGTAGTCTTAAAAAAAAAATCACTTATCAGTGACCCTAATTAGAGGTAAAAAAAAAAAAAAAAACCTTAAAAGTATAAAGATCGGACTCAGGAGCATTGGAAGAAGGTCATGTGGTCTGATCAGTCCTAATTTACCTGATTCCAGAATGATGGGCGCTTCAGGGTAAGAGGAAAGGCGGATTATACAAGCCTGTGGGCCAGTGCTGTGATCTGGGGATGCTGCAGTTTAGGTTAGGTCTATGATCTTCAATGGTATATGCCCAAATAATAAGAGCATAGGCTCATTCTGAAAAAAAGTAGTCCTATATTAATTTCTGGAGATCGCGAATTATGTAGCCAGAAGTATGCTCTATGGCTGCATTTTGTCTTTAAAATGACCGCTACGGGGTGGTATGATGCCGTTCCTTTTCGTGATTACCAGCTGACCGCTTACCTCAGTATGGATGGCTTTCTCGTTATTACCAGTTTGTCCAGTTAGTGCGCCATGTATATCAGTGGACTTGAGACGCAGAGAGAAGTTGACTGCGGGGTTTGAGTCTGACAAAGAATGGTTTCAGAAAGCGGGTAAGACAAAAATAGAAGCCAACAAATAAAATAAACAAGTAAATAGTTATGTGAGAATGTGGTAAATCAGAAAACATGGTACAAATTAGGCAAGGGCTTTTCTTTTTCCAGATTGCTTTTGAAAACACTATTGGTTGGGCTTAGGAAAGGAGAAGGGTGGGTCAGTCAATCGGTCAGTCAGTTAGATTTACGCACAAACAGCAAGCGTGAATGGCACTCGCAAGAAAAATTTAAGATTAAACTTGACACTGAAAAGCATACACAGCTGCATCTGGTGGATACGTGAAAAAAAAAACTGCAAAAAAAAAAAAAAAGCTCCTGGGATGTATTTGGTGCTCTCCAGAAATGTATATAGCAGCGCATTTTCAGAACGAGCCTGGGTTGAGTAATAAGGTTAGCCAGTACCTAAACATACTGAATGACCAGGTTATTCTATCAATGGATTGTTTCTTTCCTAATGACAAGGGTATATTCTAAGATGATAATGCCAGGATTCAGCAGGCTCAAATTGTGAAGAATGGTTCGGGGAGCACAAGACATCATTTTTACATATGGACTGGCCACCTCAGAGTCCAGAACTTAACCCTATTGAGAGTATTTGATACTGTTATAGCATATATTCAACATAATTTTTTTGGATAACTTTAAAGATATTTTTAAATGAAAGACAAACTCCACTCCCCTAACCCCCTCCAAACACTGCTCTCTGATGCCCACTGAACCCTGCAGAATCAAAATCACTGTTTGATTACTGGCTCCACACTGTGTGTGCTGAATGCTGTGTCCTCCAGCCAGTCTCACCACAGGACAAGCATCTGCAATCCAGGACTAAGCTGGAGTTTCAACCGATTTTAAAAGAGGAGCAGACTTGTGAGAATACCTGTGATGTTGGTGGTTTCGTGTGCCTTCTCGACTGCTGTTCTGAGAACAGTTTCACTGTTGCTCCAATTAAAAAAAGCAAGGGAAAAGAATTGGGTTTTCACAGATGTTGGCAGAGCTGATAGTGAGGAGCGTCTGGCTGCCGAGCAGGAGGTTTTCTGTCTGCCTGTCAGGTGAAAGAGACGCGGCACAATGCAGGGCTGGAGATGGTAATTACACCAAGCTCTTGAACAGCAGGAGTGGAAACATTCAAGTGTTTTGAAGCCACAGTTTGGGGTGAATCAGGATCTGTTACCTTTGTTGAGCCTCGTCAACTTCTCACATCTGTAATGTGTGAAAATGTGAAAAGCTTTGATTTAATATTCTTACCTTCTCACTTTTTTCCCTCTACTAGGCTTCAGATCCATTTCACAGTGGCCATTGATTTCACTGCGTCCAATGGTAAGGATTTTTTTCTTACTGTTTGAAGTGCATGCAGATCTGAATCAGATTTTGCCTAAATTTATGATCCGTCTAACTCTGTTTTTTTAATCTCCAGGGAATCCTTCTCAGTCTACCTCCCTGCACTACATGAACCCATATCAGATGAACGCGTACGCCATGGCCTTAAAGGCCGTCGGTGAGATCATTCAGGACTACGACAGTGATAAGATGTTTCCTGCGTTGGGCTTTGGAGCCAAACTTCCTCCCGATGGCCGGGTTTCCCATGAATTTCCCCTGGTACCTGTTCCTAGATTTGATAGATTATGTTGATTTGCAGTGCTAGCTGGCACACATCCACAGTCATTTCTGAATGTGTGCCGTTCTTTTTATGAATAGTGTTGCTTTTTCCTCAGAGTGGAATTTTTATATGCAATGTTGTTTTGAAGTGTTTATATAGTTGTTTGCACGTATATGTGGATGATATTGTAATTAGTAATGCTTGGTTAAGTCTATGTGTAATGTGTAAATAAGGCCCTCTCGACACTCCTGCTCATTAACGTCACGATGTGTGTATGCCAAACCCTCATCTCGTTGAGCATTTTGAGTCTCTTAATTAGTTTTTGCTCGCTCTTTCTCCTCCTATCTCTCTTCTCTTGTGCTGGAACTTGGGATTCATTTTCATTCTTGCTGCTTCACTCCCCAATTCTTCGGATATGACTGTCCTTAGAGCATGAATAATTATCTAATGATGAATCTTAAAATACTGAAACAGATACTGAGATCCCTAAGGGCGCCACAGTGGAGAAAGTTTTGACGGTGCGTTTGACGGAAATGAGTGTGGAAGGTTTTGAGTGTGCAAATGGAACTGTGAAAGAACCATTTTTTTGGTTAATGCCTTTTCTTATGTCCTCGAAAAGCACCATTGCAAATCAATTCACTGATTTAAATTCCAGTGTATAGATGCACTAAAAAAACAAGTATACGGTATGTAAATACAGTGCTCAGCATAACTGAGTACACTCTGTTTTGAAAATGAATATTTATAGGCAATGTATTTTGGGGCATTTAAACAAAACAGATTGATTAAACAGATATATTTATTAAATTAATATTTTAGTCACCAAACATATTTAGAAATTGAAAGATAATACAATTAAATTCCAACAAAACATTGCAAAAAATATATAAAAAAATTACAACCCACAAAATTACAACAATTTTCTTTTTATTTATTTATTTTTTTTTGCTTTTTTTGATTTTTCCTCTTTTTAAATTTGCATTTTTAATATTTTTCTATAACATATAAGTTTGGCTGCACTAGTTTTTGGATTATTATTGTAAATTATTTTGTTAGATAAGCTCCAGATTTGACTTTAGTACTGACTAATATAATGTATAAGCACAAATATAATATTGTATAGCTTCCTATTAAAAATATGAATTTAAAATATTTGTGAGGGGTGTACTTATATATGCTGAGCACTGTACTGTTGTATTTTCCTTAATAATGGTAGACCTAATCTACTGTTATGGCCTTGATAGTATTGGCATAATGTTGATTGATTTGTGATGTTTTCTTTGAAGAATGGCAATGTTGATAACCCGTATTGCAATGGGATGGAGGGAATCCTAGAGGCTTATCACGAGAGCCTGAAGACTGTCCAGCTTTATGGACCCACCAATTTTGCTCCTGTCATCAACCATGTAGCGAGGTAAGACAAATGCAGCAATCTACACAGTATAGTGGACTCTGGCACATGAAAAAAAAACTCATGCTGTGTAAACCAGTATGAAGACACAGTAGTGTGACAATGTCCAGTACTCAAAAAAGCAGAATGATGAGACATTTTAAAGTCATAGTCTTTGCTCAAGCAAGCAAAAACATTTATTGTGAGTCTGAGATAAGAGATATAAAGTAAAAAATGAAAGCATAATGTCACAATTCATGAGAGAAAGATAGACCTGTGAGTAAAAATGTCTTGTGAGAATTGTGAGATGAGTCAGTGCAATTGTGAAAAATATATCCATGATTATAACATACAATTTTGCCATTATGAGAAACAAAGTCGTAAATCCAAAATACAGTATAATGTTGCGATTGAGAAAAAAGTTTTACCAAATCTGTAGTTGTGAGAAATACAGTAGCAAGTAGTTACAATTGTGAGATTCACTTTATTAGGTATACCTTGCTAGTACTGGGTTGTACCTCTTTTGCCTTCAAAACTCCCTTAATCTTTAGATTCATCAAGGTACTGGAAATATCTCTCAAAGATTTTGGTCCATATTGACATGATTGCAGATTTGTCGACTGCACATCCATGATGTGATTCTCCCATTCCATCACATCCCAAAGGTGCTTTATTGGATTGAGATCTGGTGACACATTTAAAGTCACTTAAATCACCTTTCTTCTCCATTCTGAGGCTCGGTTTGAACTGCAGCAAACCATGTGACGGGCTGATTAGAACTTTGTGTTAACAAGCAGCTGGACAGGTGTACCTATTAAAGTGTCCAGTGAATGTATAATGTTCCAATTTTAGGAAACAAACCATCATTTTTGTGAAAAAAAATTTGTGAGGAAAAATTCACAATTGTAAAGTATAACTATATACGAGAAGAAAATTTACAACTGAAAAACAAAGTCAGAGTGTAATATTTGTTTTAATGTTCCAGTTATAAGAAACAAAGTCAGAGTAGTGAGAGATAATGCAATTGTGAGATATAATGTAAGAACTATGAGATTTAAAGTTGCAGTTCAAAGAAAAAAGTAGCAATTGTGAGATATAACTTCACAACAGAGAAAAAAGTTCCAACTGTAAAAAACAAAGCTCCCATTGTGATATATGGTGTTCAAGGTTTTAATAATCTTACTGTGAGAAAAATATGTAGTTGCAACTAAAAGAAACAAAGCTGCAATTGTAAGATTAAGTGTCAATTTTTAGATATAAAAATTACAATAAAAAAGAAGTGTGTGAGGAAAAGTCTGAATTGCTAGATATTAAGATGCAGTTCTGAGAAAACTGCAACTCTGACAAAAAGTTACAACTCAGTGGTAGTTGTTTAAGTTGTAAGAAACAGCCCCAATTGTGAGTTCTAATTGAGATATCCTTTTATTGTCTTTAATAATGATGCAACTATGCATTGTAATTTAGCATTGTAATTGAAAAAGTCGTAATATTGAGCAGCAGTCATAGCTGCAAAATACAGTGTCGTAATTAAGGAAGTATATAGTTGTCATAGTTGTAGTTATGAGATGTACTGTACAGTCCCCGTTGTGCAAAACCACATTGAGATAATTGCAAGAAGATGTTTTGCAGAACAGCTCTGTGTTGAATTCTCAAGCCAGACCCAGGCTTCTGTACTAATGAACACTGTTGCTGATGTGACGCTGATTGTACTTATTGTCTAAACCAACAAGCCTAGATGATTAAACAAGCACCAAAGATTTGTTTCTTATCGTTGTGACCGTACGTGAACCTCCGAGAGGCCAGATCTCCTTCATAGCTTCTGTAAAGTGTTTTGCATCACAAAGAGCATTATGGGATTTTGATGAAGGCAGAAGAGCTGTGTCAATAGCACAGGGACGTCCCAGAGCAAATATATATATGCATGAGCATCAGCACTGAATACTAAGTGTTCAATGAGGATGCTTATTCTTTTATTATTCATCCGCAATGTTACAACACAAATGATGGCAAGCCAATTTAATCTTAAATCTACAAAATGTCAATGGGTATTGCTTTAGTTCAGGTCGCAATGCATGCTATTAACTACCTGCTTATTATTAAGTTATTTACTGTTCAGTGGTTATAAAGTATAATCTTATTCTGTATCCCTAATACCCAAAACCTAAACCCACCTTGCTAACTATTAATAATCAGCTAATTAATAGTTTGTTAAGCTAGTAGTGTTAGTTTGTTAATATTGTGAATTGTGACCTAAACTAGCATGTTACCTGTCAATTTTAATGCAACTATTTGTATTTTTTTTATTTAGTACACTCATTAAATATACTATAAAGGTATGAGAGCTGTAACTGGGGCTGTATCCTTTCAAAAGATACATATCTGTATCTAAAAGGTCCACTATTGTACTTCAAAGGTACATTTTAGGTACATTTTGGTACTAACATGTTCCTTTGTGGTACCAATATGAACTCTTTGGTTACAAATGTGTTCCTTTAGATAAAAGGTAAACCTCCCATACTTATATTTCTGAGAGTGTATGTGCTTATGCTTATAGTTATGCACTATTGTATAGTATAAGTAGTGTAAGCTGTGCACTGGCACTTAAAACTCTAAAAGGAATAAGTGCACTTTAAATACCCGGATGATGCACTTATTCAACCATTAAAATGAAGTGTGGAATGATAGACACTTCATACACTCAACGGCCACTGCTTTGCTCATCTAGCTGAAGGGGCGGAGCTTACAGGCACTGCTGTTGGATTACTTTATTTTGGATTGTAAAAGTAAAATTCTCCTACGAGCGTAATTATAGCACCTCCCGATTGCAGAATTATTATTATTTCTGCAGATTGTGAATGCAGAAATACTCATGGTAGGGATTATTTTGTTGTTTGGACATTTATTTTACTAATTTGGCGACCATCAAATGTCATCTGGGAAACGGTTTGAATTTCAGCTGAGTAAAACGTTAGTTTTAGATTTGGTGACGACACTACATTTACTATATGCTATGCTGTTGAGTGTTTAAGTGCATTAGTACATAGTGCATAATAGTGTATAGTGTGCTATTTGGGATGCAGCTTGTTTTTAGAATTTACAAAAATACTAGTATCTAAACTAAGTATTAGAAATGAATTTTTATTAGTATGTTTAAAATATGTAATAGTCAAAAATGTAAGTTAAAGCTGAATATTAATTGCTAAATATAAATATAGTCCATATCTCAATGACAAATTGCCATAGTAGGTACTATTATTTACTAGTCGCTTTTGAAAAATGTTCTAGGTCCAATAATAAGTATTTAATGAACAAGTAATAGCAGTGCTTCCCGCACATAGACTTTACTTGGACCGGCTGTCCAAGTATGTTTTGCCACACATTTTTGTTTTACTATAATTATATAATATAATTACCCATGACCAAACATCCGCGATTGATTAAGTAGTGGAAAAAAAAATCTTCTTTCGTTTACCCGTTTCGTTCTGTGTGCGTGAGACCTGTTAACACTCCCACAGACAGTCTCATGTGCTCTGCAGAGCCACAGAAACTCGCCTTATTGTCACTTTAGTAATCGTCTGGCCGGAGTTTCTAAATCTCCTAAAATTCGGCTTTTACTTTCGCTTGCTAAAGCTATCGTTATCGCTTGCATTTTTGCATGAGAGTAAGAGAAACATTAAGCAAAGCATTCTTTAAAGGACTCAGAAAAACTTTACTACTGTATATAGCCTACTCTGAGAGGATGAAATAACTGGTCTAAACTGACTGCAAAATATGTGTACACCATTTGCCATGGTTAATCAAAGCATTTGCCTAATTTAACCCTCCTGTCATGTTCCCCTCCTGCCCCTAGTGTTCCCGGTCAAAAGTGACCGGTGTGTTTTAATTGCTCTTAATTAGCACAAAAAACATTTTTCAAAACTAAATTTTTATTCAACATTCTTTAGCTGTGAGCAATGTCTCAAAGTAGTGTTTAACATGAATTTATAGAATTAGACATAAAATAACTTCAGTGAAAATACAAATAGTCAGTGAGTGAGTTGGGCTGGTGTACAGTACTACAGTATGTTCTATCTGATGGATTAATATAGTCTGGATACCCATTCATTTTTTATGGTGGTCACTTTTGACTAAGATTGACTAAAACACTCAAAATTCAATGAAAGAAGTGATCATCACTTTTATATGTTCGAATGCATAGAGTCGAGGATATCATAGGCCTTGAGGTAATCAGATGTACTGTAAAACACCATATTAAAGTGTGTTTTAAGTTGTAAATCAGTCAGATTTGACCCGAACACGACAGAAAGGTTAAATAATCTACACGTTTTAATCTTGTAATTATTATAATTTGTAGAGATATTGTCTGTTTGTATTTCCTTTTCTGTCATTTATTTCTCATTTGCTGTATATTTTATATACATATCTTAAGAGTGTGGGCATTCAAGTTTGCTTTGAACTTGAAAGAGAGAGAGAAGCAGATTTTAGCTGTCAGTGGGTGCACATGGCTCCTAAATAGCATAAAAGTAAGAGAAATAGTGGATTTCTATTTCATTTAAAACTTTTTTTTTACTTTAACCCATTAAAAAGAAACAGTGTAAATCTGTGTCATAATAAATAAAATTATTGTTCAAAATTAAATTCTGTTTTGTTTGTTGCATATAGCAAACTATTATTAATATTATAGTATTTCAATTTGGCTACCACCGCAAGTATATTTTAAACCTGTGGGAAGCACTGAATAATATCTAATACTAGTATCTAATTAATAGCATCCACAATTAATAGGTAATAGTACCTATTTAGAACCTATTGATAAGTTAACAGCACCAATAGAGTAAGCACTAGTAGATAATAAACATGAATAAGTATTTAATGGAAAAGAAACTAGTTAAAAAATAAATACTAGTTGAAAACAGATTTGTTTTTCTATTAAATATCAAAACAGCTTGCCATAACAATCATTAGAAGCCTCTGGAAAAGGTTTTCATTTTTGGGTTATGATTCATTTGGGTGATTTGGATCATAATGTTTTCTGCTAATATGTTTGATAATATGAAAAGTTGACTGTGTGTGTGTGTGTTTACAGGTATGCGGCAGCGGTTCAAGATGGCTCGCAGTATTTTGTGCTTCTCATCATCACAGATGGTGTGATTTCAGATATGGCTCAGACTAAGGAAGCCATCGTCAATGTGAGTTATCCTTCTCTTTCTAGCCTCAAAAACGGTTTATATCATCATACTGTGGTGCAGCATTGCATCACAAGTGCCTCCAGGCAAAGCCTAAGAAGAGTTCAGGTGTGTTTTGGGTCTTCCTGAGGTCTTCTTCACACCTAATGGGATTCGTCTGTCAGCGCTGATACTGTTACCCAGCAGACTGGATTTAAAGGGAATTTGCGACTGTTTAGTCACATTATTAGAACAGCCACACCTTCCTTTTAAGATCTTGCCTGCTGCTCTGTCTCTTCTGCAGCCTCTACCCATGATGCTCTTCCCTCATACGGTAACACTTCAGTATGAGTTCATGACTGAACGCTTCATGTGCCTGATTTATTCTTGTGCCCCGAGTATTTTTCTTTTCTTTATTGAAATCTGCTGTAAAAAATCCACTCTTTTGCTCTTTTCTGTTGCTCTTTTAAAGAGATTATGCAAAAACGAGCACTTTGAAGTATTTCTCGTTCATGCCCTCTCTCAGTCTTTGATTCTCTGCACTATATATTTTGTTCTGAGAGCAGCTGAAGTTAAATGTTGGTTCATTCTGTTATCTGGAAGGTCACTTTTTTGTTGTTGTGGTGGTGACAAATTTTCTGTGAATCATGGGAGATTTTTTGTACTTTAAAGTAAACAAGTGGTCTTGTTTTCTTGTAGAGTGAACATTAAACAACATTATTAATCGAAATATACACACACACACACACACACACAGTTAGGCCTATAAATATTTGAACATCGACACAATTCTAAAGTTTTAGGCTCTATACACTAACACAATCAATTTGAAATTAAACGAACAAGATGAGCTTTAACTGCAGACTGGCGGCTGTAATTTGTGGGTATTTCCAAACAAATCAGGTGAACGCTGTAGGAATTACAACAGTTTGCATATGTGCCTCCCACTTGTTAAGGGTCCAAATGTAATTAGACAAAATAATAATCATAAATCAACTTTTACTTTTTAATACTTTATTGCAAATCATTTGCAGTCCAATTCAAGTCTGGAGTGCATAGACATCACCAGACTCTGCGTTTAATTTCTGTTGATGCTCTGCCATACCTCCGCAAGCTCAATCGTATTCAGGTCAGGTAATTGACTTGGCCATTGCAAAACATTCCACTTCTTTCCCTTCAAAAACTCATGGGTTGCTTTTGCACTATGCTTTGGGTCTACATCTGCACTGCGCTGTTAAAGCACATCTTCTTCATTAATTTCAAATCCATTGTGTTGGTGTATAGAGCCAAAAATGTTAGAATTGTGTCAATGTCCAAATATGTATGGACCTAACTGTATATATATACTCTATATAAAGTGTGTGTGTATATATAAACAACAGTGCTGTCTGGTTTCAAATCTGATGTGCTGATAGCCATGCAATATTCTGCAATATCAGCACTCGTACAGCCTCTTCACCTTTGTGTATTACTCCGCCTACATAGAGTAACAGCAGATGAATAAACTCACTACAGTTTGACAAATATTGCAGCTGTTGGACAACATAATGTACTTTTGAGGCTTTTGTAGATGACAATAGTTGTTAAGATTGCAACTATGCAGTTTATTTATAGGGATAGTGCCTATTTTAAAATATTTATAATATTTTATCATAATTTAAACCATCAGCTGCCATTATGAATTGTGCTGTCAATTGCTAAAACAAAATAACTAATAAATCGCACTTTTAAAAAAAAATTATCGCAATTAATCACATTTAAAAGACTGAAATTTGTGATTTTGGCTATTCAAATGTAAAATTTATGTAAACGCAAGACAAAAACTATTTAAATTCAGTTTTAACTATAAAGTTTTAACTTGCAACACAGATTTCTTCATGTAAACAACATACCCACAATAAACCATCAAGATCCTGGCTTGACAGCCAGATTTATTACAGAAATAAAAACACAGGCATGTTAATGCGATTTGAATTTCAAAACAATCGATGCCAATAAAGTAAAAATTGATTTCCAAGTTGGATTTTAAATGGACTGCAAAAAAAATGGCAAAATACTGGCATTGCAAATATGGAAAATGGAAAATTATAATAACAATAAAGTATTGAATTCAACCAATTGCACTCATTGAAAAGTTGTATTGCTTTTTGTATTGAGTTGAGAACATTAATTATAAAGTAGAAACAATTTTGCTTAGACCTCCTTTACATTCAGCCAGTTGCTAAAACAGTCCAGGGAAACACGTCAAACTTAATAAAACATTGGAGGGCGCATGCTGAAAGGCAGAGGAATGTGCTGTCTTTGACAGCTTGCGACATCATCTGGCACTTCATTTACATGGACACCAATACTCTGATTTTAATATGACTAAGATAATACTCTCATTAACAGTCTACCATGTAAGCAGCGATTTTTGATTACCTTAAAGGACCACCGAGTCACGAAATGCGGAGGTTTCCGTTCGCCATGCGGTATCAAATTCAACTAAAACAAAAGGCGAAAGTTAAAAAGAAGCATACGAAATTAGATGAAACTCTGGAGGAAACGCGGGGTAGCCTGGAAATGTGACATTATCAAAATTAAAATGACTAGAAATAATCATGTATAGGGGTCATGTTTGCAAGGAATGTGTGAGAAGCTTGTATTAAACATTTAATAAATGTAAAATCCTCCAGCAGATGCGAGCATGTGTCGGAGTGAACCTAAGAATAAAGGCTGGAGAACAGGACAGGAGAAAACACTGTAATTCACAGAGTTTATTATAGGCTAGCTGTAAATGTGCCACATCACATAATTCACACTAATCTGCACTTATTTCAAGACCGAGAGAGGTATTTGGTGGAGAAAAAAGAAAGTAAGCAATCGAGAAAAGCAAAGACCTGCTGGAAACAGTGAAGCAGTGAAGACATGATGTGTGTGTGAAATGTGTTTGTTTGGACTCTATTTCTTTCAACACATGAGCGCTTCTGTCCCCCGTGAGCTTTTCCGCCAATGCTGACCTACTTACAACCCCATAAATATGTGTTTGTAATCCTTGCCCATTGGCACCAGGCACTCAGTGAGCTGTCTGTACAATGCACATGGACAGGGGTGGACGGCGAGTATAACAAAAGCAGCCCAGGAACAACACTAGCTAACAATAACGCCACAAATTAACACTCGATCTGCACTGGCAGGTTTATGAAACGGCGATACTTGGCTTGTTTTATTGTTTATAACAATGGCTGAGAACTTTATACTGTTGAAATAATGAACTAGAGTGTTGTCAGTGTCTTAAAGCGACGTGGTTTGCAGTTTAAAGAAAATGATTTAAAATGTGTTGTCAACAGAAAAGAATGTTTACATTTTTTTCTGTAGTTATTTGCCAGAATGAAAACTCTTTAAACTATTCAAAATTAAAAAGTAATTAAAAAACTAAAAATATTGGTCTAGTAATTACATTTTTTAAACAAGTGCCTTTATTAGTTTTACATTTTTAAATAATTATCAAACAACACACCAATTTAGAAAGCATGAAATAAGCATAATACAATAATAGTGGTAATAAATAAAAATAATGAATAAAAATAGAGGCAGTGATCATATTAAGCACTACACTGCTGCTCTGAATCAACATCATATTGGTCCAGGTGATCAAGGAATGGTTGCCATATTGTAAAACTTATCAAGGTTACCAATAACTCCAAACCAGAATCTTTCCAAATGCTATATTTGAATGAAATAAGTTAACCATGTCTTAAATTGAGGAATAGAATCTGATTTCCACAGTTTTGGATTAACTCTCTTAGCATGATTCATTCCATAAATTATTATTTTTTATTATCAAAGGGTCATGAAACCCCCTTTTTCAGGTCATTCACACTAAATCTCAGGAATACCCCAAGTATGAATTTGTCAAGCACTGTCCATCACTCACCATTCTGACACACATAGGCCTACTGTAAATGACGAGCAGCAGATCTACTGTCTAATTTAAAAATGTAATTCCAAATCATATTTTACAGTACAAGTTAATGTTTAGATTTCAAATATACAATAAAATGTAATGTGTACATGCAACTTATATTTCAAAATGTATTTAAAAATTGTATATGTACTGTATGCATAACATATAGCCTATTTCCATCAGGTATAAGCTACATTTTCAGGTTTTGATGAATAAGCTATTTAATACTTTAATAGTACAGTAGTTTTCTTTTTACTTTTTAAGAATATATCTACTTTTAAATTTTAATTAACTTTTAAACATTGAAGTACTTTAAATTTTTTTGTCTGCAAGCACAGTTAATGTTTAAACTATTTACAATGCTTAATGTGGCTGACAATAATACATATTCTTAATAATAGGAATTAATCTGCCATTTTTTAACTGTGCAGAGTTTTAGCTTCCTAATTAGGCCCACCACGCTACTGTATTTCAGTACTGGTCATTATGGTCGCACTTGGAGGGACTTTTTTCTGAGATGGTACTTAGAGAAAAAAGTTTAAGAACCACTACTGTAGATCATGGAAACAAACACATACGACCCTTCATGAATAGCTAAATACTGCTTGCCATGCGTGGCCGTGGTCTCACAGCTTGGCAGGTCTGTCATCGGAAAGCACGTGCTCTCATGAATAAATAAGAAGCAGGGTCTTCTCATAGGAAAAGTAAACTCAGCCATGAATAATAATGAGAAACTGACACGTCATCTCTGAACAAGCAGACAAGCGCTACATCACTGATTTTGACCCCGCCCAAATAATTATTTTAAACCCTGAAGATGAAATTAGCTGATACAAGCTCAAAATGATGCAGTTTTATCCACAATTAAAGCTAACAGGTGCCAACATGGTCATAACTAATCAGGGTTCTTACACGCTGGAAATCCTTGAAAATGCTTGATTTTTATTATAGTGTTTTCAATTGCTTGGATTTTGGAAAGTGCTTGAACCTGCTTGAGATTTGGGATCTCAAAATATATTTGGGAGCATATGTGCGAGTGCATAAATTGTTGTCGTGCGACCAGTTTTCATTGCAAAATGTTCACCGCACACACATATTTATGGAGCTAATAATAAGCCAAAACAATCTGAATTTCAATTGTGTTGAATTGAATTATTAACAGTTGTAAGTCAATAATACTAATTATGTCCTATTAGAAATGTTTTGAATTTGTATTTCTTAACTTGATTATTGAACATCTGAAATCTAAGACAACTTAATTTTTTAAGTCAGATTTTTATAGACATATTTTTATACTTCAGATTTTAGACTGTAGATATTGGGTATGTAAGAATACAGTTTTAAGTTTTAAGAATGCAAATGAACACAATACAAATTTAGATTGTTTTGGCACTTCATAAATAGCTTCATACGTATTTAGGAGACATTCACCCAGAATGCACCTATGCACTTGAAAAAAAAAAAAAAAAATAGCACATGAAACATCATGAGCGACTGGTTATGAAAAATTGGTACTACACCCAACCAAAATCTGACTGTCAGCTCTTTTCTTGAGATATCAACTTTAGGTAGAAAGAGACCAAACTTAAAAAAAATACTTTATCGAATAACTGAACTTTTTAAAATGTATTTATTTATTTTTTATCATTTTTGATAAAACTATCTCAATAAATCTATGCTCTAAAGTACTCAATTTAAGTTGAAATGTCATATTGGGTTTTTTAAATTAGCACATTGGATTTAAATGTGAAAAAGTACATACAACATATAAACGTAATTAACCATGGTTATTAGATGCTGGAAAAGCATACCGTGCTTGAAATTTGAAGTTGGAAAAGGTGCAAGAACCCTGACTAATGCTCTAACACATGAATCTGTTAAAATCTTTTTTTGAAAAGTACTCAGTAGACAGAGTTCAATAGAATTATAGTCTTTGATTTAATTTTTAGAATTTATTATGTAACAAATAAATATTGCAGTATTACAGTAATGTTATTATAGATCTGTGGAATTTTTATAATTGGATGAGATATTATTGATAATATTTATAATAATGTACGTTTTTTTATTTCTGTTTTAATGAAATAATGATAAACAAACACTGTAAAACAAACCTGTAGAACACAGACCTATTTCTTCCATTTGTGTTCACACACGCACTTAAATATGATTGTGATTGTGTATTTCAGAAATAAATACACATGCAGTAAAATCAATATAAATAAATCTATTTGATGTCTGAAATTCAGAGATAAGCAGTCAGCTGATTCTGCATTAGCTTTTTTTCATAATCTCCTTACACTTTGCAGAGTCCATATTTTAGTTTCCCCTATATATAAAGCTTAAGGGGTATTGAAGAAATCGATCTCTGAATTGTAGTAATTAATGATCTAAATCACCCAGTTGCTTTGATTAGCTCTCCAAGCCCCACAGGTTGGGTTTGTTTGTTTGGTGTGTGTGTGTGTGTGTGTGTGGTTTTTTCTTGTGATGTGTTTTTGTGTGTGGCCCCCGGTGAAATTCCAATTCTAACTCCATTACGGCTCGCAGACGTATGAGTGTGACTGAGAGTGTGTGTCCGGCCAGCTTTATTCCTCAAATTATTCATTCCCCTCAACAGGCTTTCCCTGGGAGCACTTTCCAAACTCAAAGCCTCAGGAGCCTCCGATATTTCTCTCATTATAGATCTGATGTATTAAAGGTATATTTCATTATCAGCTCTTCAGATTACATTTCACAGAAATCCTGCTTTCCCCTTGTTTGCGTTTCCCTCCTTTTACTTTGTTACTACCAGGATGATGTTTAATGCGTGTTACGTGCAATTAGTTTTCATTGAAAGTGCCGTGAAGTGGCTTTGGGGAGAAAGTGAGTTTTGTTTTAGTGAATATCCTGTGGTTTTCTTGTTATCCGCTGTCACTGGTAAGCTTGCTCAATACAGACTGGCTCTTTACTGCTCTGATAAAGGGGATTTGAGCTGTCAGTCAGGCTTCATATGGACAGCCAGAACAGGAGAGACAATGTTGATCCAGGAGAGTGTGAATAATGCATGGCTTTCACCTCACAGTATCGCGCCGTGTCAAAATATTCTTTTCTAAGCATCACAATCGAAGCCCCATCGCTCGTTCAGATCTGACCGGCTCAGCGTGTTCTAAAATAAAGCACTCATTTTCTGCTGCTTCGTAAACGCTGTTAAGGGTGGAAGGCCATTGAAAGTTTTGTGAAAATAGGTCCAGGTCATATTTGATTCCAAAAAATAGAAAGGTTAACAAAATGCTGTTGGGTTTTCGTGAGTCATGTTAAAATCTTATGAATGTAAAGCAGCAATATGATCATGAAATTGTGATGTATAAAAACGTTAATCTTGCATAATGAATATTACATATCAAATGGTAAAATTGCAAAAACATTATTAATCACATTATCACATCTTTATTCATGATATATAAATACCTTAACATGTGACCCTGAACAACAAGTCTTACGTTTCACATGTTATTGGCAATAGCAAAAATACACTGAATTGATTTAAATTTTTGGTTTTTATTTTTTTGTCAACAATCATTCGAATATAAAGTAAAAAGAAACAAATATTGTGAAATTAAAAAATGTATCATTAATATAAAATGCTTAGAAGGTAGGAAAAAAATAGGTCCTACCTTACTCAACCAGATGCTGAAAGACTCATTCATGCATTTGTCACTTTCAGGATTGACTATTGTAATGCACTCTTTGTTAAATGCTACCTGCTAAATTAACACTGCTAAACGGCTACAGTACATTCAAAACTCAGCAGCACGGATTCTCACACGCACTCCACCATGGCAGCACATTACTGGTGTGCTTTATAGCTTGTATTGGCTCCCGGTTCAGTCCCATATCATTTTGAAAACACATGCATATAAAGCTTTACATGATACAGCTCCTTCCTATATCTGTGACATCTCAGTATACACCTTCTCGCTCCCTGCGGTCTGCTGATACTCACACCCTTCAACAACCACCCTGTAGACTAAAATCAATGGGGGAAAGAGCTTTCTCTGTTGCTGCACCTAGGTTATGGTATGCTCTACCTTATTCTGTAAGAAACTAGCTTCCACACTAGCTAGTTTTAAGAAGATGCTAAAAACTCATCTTTTTAAGACTGCATTTCTAGATTCTTGATTATTCTGTGTTTATATTTTAGATCTTTTTTTATGTATACTTGTATTTTATTGCATGTTTGATTTCTCTATTGTTGTAGCGCTTTGGGTCTTAGAAAAGTGCATTATAAATAAAATATATTATTATTACTATTATTATTATTATTAAAAACTAGGGCTGCACGATATTGGAAAAATCTAACATTGCGATATTTTTTTGATTCTGTAATATACTGTATGTTGCAATACGAATACAATTTCACTAGATTAACTACTGTATTTGGAAAGAATGTATAAGCACAAAATGTAATTAAAAATTTACAATAGATTGTTACATAAAGAATTTCGATAAAGAAAAGTATACAAATGAAATAAACAGCGTATTATTGGAGTCTAACTGTTCAGGTATACAGTAGTTGAATAATCAAATGTAAAATAATATTGGAAAGTCTTCATTTTATAAACAATTTAATAAAATTGTTCCGTATAAATTTGTCAAAGTTATAAACGGTACAATTTCTTATGCCTAAATGCTTTTAAAACTCTAATACAGTCACATGCCTCAAAAAACACTTGCGAAACGATCATTGCATATACTTTCAATGTGACTATTGCGAATGATCACATTGCTGTATTGATGCTAATACAATATATTGTGCAGCCCTACTAAGAACCTAATTTAGACAACTTTAAATGTGATTTCTTCAATATTTCTATTTTTTAACCCCCAGATTCCAGATTTTGAAATTGTTGTTACACCAAATATTGTCCATCCTAAAAAACACACATCAAAGCTTATTTATTCAGCTTTAAGATGGTGTATAAATTTTAATTTGAAAAAAAATTACACTTTTGGTTTTGTGGTTCAAATCATACATTAATTTTTCTTTTGGCTTAGTCCCTTATTTATCAGGGGTCGCTACAGTGGAATGAACCTCCAACTATTACAGCATATGATAATACATAGTGAATGCCCTTACATTACAGGAAAATAAAACAACCCAGGCTCATTCTGAAAACGTACTGCTATATACATTTCTGGAGTGTGTGAAATACGTCCCGAAAGATACGATTATTTGCAGTTTTTGTTTTTCGCGAATCCGCCAGAGGCCATTGTGTATGCTTTTTGAGATCTTAAATTTCTCTCAAGAGTGCCATTTGCTCCTGCTCTTCTTGTGTAAATCCGGCAGAGACCGCTGTCGACTGAATGACTAACTGACCGATCGTCTGACCCACCCTCCTTCTTCCAACCCAACCGACAGTGTTTTCAAAAGCACAGATTGTCGTTGTCATACAACCCCGTAGCTTTAGTTTTAAAGACTAAATGCTGTCATAATTACTTATGGCTGCATAATTCGCAATCTCCAGAAACGTATATAAGGCTACCTTTTCAGAGTGACCCTGTGTCGAAATAAATAAATATATATGTGTGTGTGTGTATATATATATATATATATATATATATATATATATATATATATATATATATATATATATATATATATATATATATATAAGTATTATTGGTAGAAAATGTGAAATTGATGTAAAATTGTCATAAAAGTGGTACTACAGGTGCCACCACGTCCTTTTCTTATAGTATGACACCTGGATTTGATTTATGCATTCATTTCTTTTTTTATATATGTGTAAGCTTAAATTCTTGCATATTCTTAGACTAACAACAAATATGTCAGGTCATAATTACAGCAATATTTAATAATGTCAAATAGCCATTGTTGGGTTGTAATAGAGCATGTAAACTGTTTATCATGAGGTAGAATGCATCTTTTCTATCTTTTTTTTTTCTCCACAGGCAGCAAAACTCCCCATGTCCATCATTATTGTAGGAGTTGGACAGGCTGAGTTTGATGGTAAGAACTTTTGTAAAGACATTTTCATTATCATTTGGCAAATATCTCTATATCTTTTAAACATCTTCCATTTTCTCTTCACTTCATTCACTCTTTTTATTAGATTTTTATATAGTGCAAACATAAAATAAAAATGTACCACATAAACCTTTATTGCTTGTTTATACTGCACTCAGCATCTTCCTTAAAAGTTTCCAGTTCAGCTCCACTAAATGAAAGCTAATATTAGCGTTCCCAAATGGAGGTTTAAAACTTGTATGCGTTAACGCAACTTCACAGTTTGCTCTCATGTAAGGCAGAGTTTCTGGATGAAAAGTCACCTAATTGGGGAGGTTTAGGGTTTTGGACTGATAAGCAGATGTCAGCATGCAGATCTCACAGCTGTTCAATGTAATTAGCCTGTCCCACCATCTGCTTTTAGTATTTGTGTTTGGCCTTTCATAATGTTCCAGCATTGAGGTAAATGTTAGTGTCGTGCTGGGGCAGAGAGCTTCAGATTGACTTTTTATTTATTTTTCTTGGCTGGAGGGTAGATAACATGATTTCACTTTTTAGCCATGGTCGAGCTGGATGGAGATGATGTGAGAATATCCTCCAGAGGAAAGCTGGCAGAGCGGGATATTGTACAGGTACATTTCTTTCTTTCTTTTTTTTTTTGTTTTTTACATTTTGCAATCATTGCCAAAAATGATGTCCAGAAAATGTATACTCTGTTGACTGTAGATTTATTAGCCATATATAAACATAGTTGTGCTTGGGGAGTTTTAAACTTTTATATGTGCTTTGGTTTTGTTTGTTTGTGATAAACAAGGAGACATGCTTGATTAAAAATGTGCAGGACAATGATTGATAATTAAATACAAGCCAGAAGCAATGAAATGCCATGAAACCATGAAACCACAAGTGAGTCATTGAATTATTCACTTGAGACTGGAAATACCAGAACTCTAAAACTAATACAAAAACGATTCTTTGGATTTACAATTTTTTTAAGGTAACTGGTTGCAAATAGATTATATGGGCTGAATTTAAATAAACAAATTGAATTTAGTAATGTTCAACTTAATTTGTTTGTTTAAATTCAATTCAACCCATATCAGTTTTGTAAAGTCAACAAATAATCTGTATGATTTTTTTTTTTCATCATATTTTCTATAGTTTCTATTGAGATTTTAGAATTAAGATTTGCATGTCTTTCATGATATTATATGAAGTCATTACTCTAAAAATTTGATTTTTTTTGTTTTGTTTTTGATGTTCTTCTCACTATAGATGAGCTCTAAGTTAGACTCCTACAGTGCTTAATTTGTGAATTGTGTGGTCCTGGAACAGAGTGGGCTAACGAATCCGGCATGTTACTTGAGGATGTAGAGGTGTCGTGCACGAAAGTAGAAGGGGTTGTCATCGGCAAAAGTGAAGAGCGGGGGATGGATGGGCATTGGATGGCGGAGGGGTGTCGCGAACGAAAGTGAAGAGGGTTGGGGAGTCGCGGAAGAAAGTGAAAGTGAAAGTGAACAGCAGATGGGGGAGGAGGACGGTTGAGGAGTGGGATCGTTAAAATGAGGAATCTGGCATGTTCTGGCACAAATTTAGACCTGGGCTCCTACCTATGCCTATTAGGCTGTATTTACACTGCATGGATCAAGTGAATTCTGGCACAGATCTAATATGGCCCATGTAAGCGTTTGCAGGAAAAAAATCAAATGGATTCTGATTTACACAAATCAGATTCAGGCCTTGTTCATATGTGGAAATTTATCCGAAATTTACCACTTAAACAATACAAACTAATACAAAAGTATTGCATAAATCACATGCAAAAATGATGTCATGGACATGACATTTAAATGCCTGCTGTTTTAAAAAGGCCTAGATTAAAAGAAGATGGCCAAATGAGAACTTTTGTCATTAAAATAACTTGTCAAAAAGAATTTTAATAAAATAAAGCCCTGCAAACAGCTTAAATACATGAATGGAGTAAAGGGCACTCTTTTATTATCAGCTGTCAGTCAGTGCCCGCTCTTTTTCCCTGGTCGTGGCACGTTTGCCGTGTGCTGTGTGAATACAGACAATCAAATACTAGTTTAAAAGATAATGTAAGCCGGTCAGCAAAAATAGTGAATACAGTCACAAAACTGACCATCAAGATCTGTAGTATAAATGCAGCCTTAGTCGGCAGTTCATCTCTCCATAGCAATTCCTATAATCTGTCTTAGGCCCTAACTAAAACCAGGGGAGTTCTCGAGACCTTGCCCTTCAAACGGGAGGTAACCCCGGGCTCGAGGATCTACTGAGCTCAGGGCTTTCTCCCGGGACAGCATGCCAAACACACTTTATTATTAATCATCAGCTAAGTGTGAAATCTTGAAATTAGGGAGTGTGTGTGTAGTGTCGAAGTACTATAACTGTCTGTAGAAGTAAAGCAATAAGTTTGGGTGACCTACATTTACAGGCATCTCACATTTAGAGAACATTGCAACATCACACAAAAAAAAATATCTCAAGCTTACAAACAAGATACTGTGTTCAACCTATAAATAATAAAAGATTGCAGAGTACTTCTGTAAGACAACAGGGTTCAGTTACATTGTTTACATTGGAAATTTCTGTGTAGTGTGCAAATATGACAGTGATTCAGGGAATAAATAAGCTCCTTCAAGTAACAATTATTGCATTTTTCTGTTCCTGCAGTTTGTACCATTCAGAGACTATATGGACAGGACAGGAAACCATGTCCTCAGCATGGCACGGCTTGCCAAGGACGTCCTGGCTGAAATCCCGGATCAGTTAATCTTATACATGAAGTCAAGGGGCATCAAGCCCAACCAGACCCCGCCAGAGTACAGTCCACCTGGGCTCAGCCCGACTTCCACCATATGAGTTTACCCAGCCGGCCGACGGAAAACAGGCCATGCTTGTTATGTCCCCTCCAATTTGGATCTCATTCAAAGCCAATACGACTGATTCAGTGTGAGGCGTCTAGAGGAGCGGATGGTTTCAATTCTCCGATTTTGGATCTAATACACTGGAGAAATTGAAAATATATCTGTGTTCCGGCCTTTGAACTGAGAAGGGTTGCAAGTGAGTTTGTTTCCCCCTCTTCATAAATTAGCCGACACTATGAACAGATTTATAGCTTGGATTTGATTGTGCTGAAGAAGACCTTCGCAAACAATGCAATTTTTTTTGCTTATTTAGCATCTCGACATCTACAGAAACGCTTGTGTGTCAGCATGTGAAGACTGTGTTATATTAGGGAAATCTTTCTATATCTTTTGTATGCAGCAGAGGTGAAAGAGACCATAGGAAGAAATAATTGTTTGAAATATTGTATACCCAATATGGGTAAACTATGTAGTGAAATAGTTTGTAGAGTTATTTTTAAATAGGTTGTGTTAATGTGGTTTTATTTTTCCACTGGAAAAATTTTGGGCAGTTTATTTTTAGTATAAAGTAATTTCCCATTGCAGTTTCCCATTTATAGCTTTTAAAAGCTATGATAAACAAGATTTTCTATGCTAAAGCATGACACCCAGGTAAAACAGATGTACATTGCATTATTACATTGTATTTAGATTAAATATTTATGCAGAAAATCTGCTATAAAAGTCTAAGAGAAGCGCATATTTTCTTAACGCTGTAATATTTGTAAATGTTAACCAGACAGAAATCTTAGATTCATTACTCAAACTGTACACAGACGGAAATTTCAGGCACAATCACCCCTCAATAATGTCAGATTTGCTTCTTTAATTTGCCCCTCCATTCCCTCAATGCTCTAGAGCTGCTATTTCTTCATATCATTCACACACGACCCATCAGGGGGAAACATGAGGGATGCCTCGCCGCTCGCTGCTAAAGATGATTGGAGATGAAGCAGCGTCTGCCGTTTTTCTAATAGCTCTGTCTGACTCCCCTGCCCCCCGTGTCCAGCCACGCTGAACCTCTGCCCTCTCATTCCCAAGATTCTCCCTGGAGTTTAAAACACTTTTCTATTCTTCACCATGACAGGAATTATTTCGGTGGTTTAAAAAGACTGCATGCAGCTGAGGTTGCATTACATGCTGAGCAAACATAATGGCATTTCGATTACAAGTTCTAGCCTTGGATTAGTTCTAGCATTGGCATAATAATAATAAGATGCACAAACACAGATGATTTGCTAAAACTGCCTTAAAGTAAGTTTACAATAATGGTCAATATCAAGCATAAATTAGAAAGTAGTATTTTATATGTTATTACTAGGGAAGTGCATGCTTATTACCTAACTTCAAAATTTAAATTACATTTAAAAAAGTCAATATTTACTCATTAGAAACACTAAAACAGTTTATGCAGCCTCTTTTTTCCAGAGGTCCATTTTGAAACTCAATAATCATCATTGACGAATGTGTATGTTTCAGTAAATATTGACTGTCTTGCTTTTTTGGACAGCAGGGCTGTTTGTACTTGTTCTTACCCACAGTTTTGATACATGTTGGTCATGTGCTGTAAATTTTAGCATATTTGCTTGTTTGAATTAAGAAGTTCTGATGTTTTGGTTTTAGTACATGCATCTGTTGCTGTGTTTCTGTTTGAGAACTACACTCACAAGCCACTTTATTGAGACTGCTTGTTAACACAAATTCCGTATCAGCCAGTCACATGGCAGCAACAATTAGGCACAATCTGGTAAACTGAGCCATAGACTTTCATTCATACGCACGTATATACGTCAGACTGGAAAACGCAAGCTTGTATGACAAGTTTTGTAGTTCGCTGCATTGGAAAATTCAAGCTATGTGAACTTGGACCTGCGAAATCGCATCACTTGGTTGTGTGAGACCAATTGAAGATCAAAACATGACCTCTCTCTACAGGAATTTCAAACATAAACCAATCTCTCGCTTTTTAAATGTCTAATAATCCTGTTTAATTCCACCCCTTTTCGCAACGCTGATCAACAGAATTTCGCAAGCTCAAACTCTAGTGTGACCGCAGTGTAAGAAAGAGAAAGAACAGTGCTGGAACCAGAAATGGTGGTCTGAATATTTGAGAAACCACTTGTTAACTGAGAAGTATGTCCAAATTCAAATGTAGTAACTACTAGAGTAGTATGCCATTTTCAACATAGGCTCATTCTGGAAATGTAGCCCTATATACATTTTTGGAGACCGCAAATTATGTAGCCAGAGCTACTTATGGCTGCATTTAATCTTTAAAATGAATGCTTTAAAGATCCTGTTCCTATTTCTTGCTTACCTCCGTATAGACGGCTTTTCTGCTGTTACCGGTTTGTCCAGTAGCTCCACATGTATGTTGGCGGGCTTGAGATGCAGAGCAGACTTAAGCGAGACAACAGGGTTCGAGTCTGGTCAAGAATGGTTCCAGATAGCAGGTAAGACAAAAACAAAAGCCAAAAAAAAGCCATTTTTGGATTGCTTTTTCCCAAACATTTTTGGAGTTTAGGGAAGGTGGTGGGCGGGTTAATCTGTGATTTTTAAAACACCATTGGTTGGGTTTACTGAGGGTGGGGGATCGGTCGATTGGTCAGTCGGTAAGCCAGTCAGTCGACAGTGGCCTCTGGTGGATTTACCTGAGAACAGCCGGTGCGAATGGCAAATTGGAGAAATTTGAGATCTCAAAAAGTATACACAGCAGCCTCTGGTGGATTCATGATAACAAAAACTGCGTAAAAATACGTAGCTCCTGGAACGTATTTTGCACTCTTCAGAAATGTATACAGTGGTACATAATCAGAATGAGCCTGGGTTGGCCATTTTGGACAAAGCTTCTGCTTTTCTCACACACTACAACTATTGGACAGCTCCAAGTCGTCTTCAGCAGTTGACATATAACCGAGACTCTGACAAGAATGACTTTCAAGTCATCAGTTCTTATTTTGCAGAATCTGTCCACTGCTTTGAACTAGTTTTACCACTTGATCCTCCTGTCAGTACTCATGAGAAATGCATCTCCAGAACCATACCTCAGTTGTTCAGATTGTACCTCTCTGGTAGGTCCTTCAGGTTATTTTATAGGATTCCAATTCTAGCCACCGGGTGCCTCAGGGCTCAGTTCTTGGGCTGCTTCTCTTCTCCATCTTTATGATATCACTTGGATCTGTCATTCAGAAACATGACTTTTCAGGACACAGCTATGCTAATGATGTCAGCTCAACTCTACCTCTCATTTCAGCCTGATCTGACAACAGCTGCTTAAATTTCAGCATACCGGACAGACATTTCTCATTGAATTCAGCTTCAATTCAATTCAGCTATATTTGTATAGTGCTTTTACAATGTAGATTGTAAATAAAACTCAACTTTGACAAAACAGAACCGTTTGTGGTTTCAGCTAATACAAGACTTCTACAACTTCTTCTCTAGGACAGGAGTGTCAAACACAGTTCTTGGAAGTCAAAGCAGAATCTAGTTCCAACTCTGCTTCAAAGGACATACGGTACCTTGTAGTTTTCATATAAGCCAGAAGGTCTTGATTAACTGGATCAGGTGTGTTTATTATGATTAAGTTAGAAAACTATAAGCTAGGTACATCAACCAGAACTCCTTCCTCAACAGACAAGATGCTTGGAGCTATAATTGATGATCAGCTGATCTTCATAGACCACATTGTTATAACTGCCTGGTTTTGCAGATTTGCTTTATACAATATCAGGAAAATTAGACCCTTCAAATCATATTCTTTAAATTCTCACAGGCCTTCCAGTCAGTGCTTTCAAACCTGTGTAACTCAGACTTCAGCAGCAAGGGTGGTCTTTAATGAGCCGGAAAGAGCACGTCACACTTCCTTTCATCAGTTTGCACTGGCTGCCAATAACCACTCACATCAAATCAAAGGCATTGACGTTTGCCTAAAAAAACCCACTGGCTCTGCACTCATTTACCTAAATCTAGTACTTCTGGATTATTCGCCCTTCAGAAGCCTGGATCGTGCAAGTGAATGGTGCTTTGTTGTGCTATTCAAAAGAGGTACATAATCACTTTCACAGACTTTTTCTTGGACTGTTCCCTGCTGGTGAAATTATGTGCCCGACTGAACCCCAGCAACTGAAATAAGTCTTTCTTAAAAAATGCCATCGAGCCATTTTATTAAAAAAAAGCTAAAACACATCTTTTCTTTTTTATTTTGTTTAAATTTGATACTATAGGTTGTTTTCATTCAGGTGGTTCTGGTGATGCATTGAATTCAGATGGAGGGCAGGAAGTAAACACTGAATGGGAGACATAGTGGAAGGCCCACATTTGTGCAATTTATACCATATTTCAAAGGAGATATAAATAGAAAATAACCATGTATGTTGGGCACAATCCTTATATTATGAAGAGGGCTGAGTTTTCTACTAAACTATAATATATTTGCCTGTGTACAAGGCGGTTGATACTGTATAAGCTATTACGGTACATGAAAAATACTATAGTAAATAATGTAGTGTTTGGAAGCATACTATAGATATTTACTTAAACTGTCTTAGTAATTATACTGTTGCTTTGGTAAAACACTACAGTAGTAATAAATAAATTATTCAATAGGCTTTAGTTTTCTACGCTATAATTATACACAAATGCACCACATTTTACACTAACGTTAGTATTTATTACAATTTATCAGTTTGCTATGCTACATATTCTGTAGCATTCGTTAACAAAGAGTTGTACACATCATACACTTTACTATGTGCTTTAAAAACATGATTATTTTAAATTACTATAGTTTTTCTTCCAGACATCATGAAATAACAGATACAATATCAATAAATAACATACAAAAGTGTGGACGCATAGTCTACATTGTTATTTATTTATTTTATTTTATTATTTATGCACTTCTTTTTTGTTTGGTCGACAAACTTAAGTTACCATCGACAAACATTCACCGCTGCTGTGCATCTCACTTTTATGGTTGTTTATTCTGCCGAAACGCCAGTAGAGACTTGAATTATTGCAAAACAAGATGGAGATTTCATTGCAGCTATTACATGATAGGGTACATTATTTATATTCTCCTGGATGTTGTATAAGTGCGGGGATATTTGTATCAGATTTTTACATAACACATTAGCATATTTATAGGTATAGCTAGGCCTGTCAATCTTTATTAGTGCTCTCAAAAGAGTTTTCGCATTCAAAAAAATTTGTACACATGGATGTATTGAACAAATGTTTATTACATGCTGCCTTTTCTTTCGTTTTTCAGCAAGTTTCTTTGAACTTTTTCCCATTTATGAGCAAAAACTTTTGGAGTTCTATAAAAGCTGTTCCGCATTTCTTAATTTGGCAGATTTAAACAATTATAAACACCATAAAAGCGTTACATTTTGATGTTCTGATAGCGATTCCTATGTAGAAGAATCACTTCCTGCCCTCCATCTGATTTTCGTGCATCATCATTGATGTCATGTGAAAACAACCTATATTCTCTACTCTATTTCAAAAATGTACTAGGTTCACTGCCTTAGACTAAACAAGAATTCACTGCACTTTATCTACAATGTTTGCTGATTGCGTCTGTTGTTCTCTTGCTTCAGATTAAATTATTGTCTGCATTGAAAGTGATTAAATGTAAATTATACATCAGATCTCAGTCCAAATCCAGTTGATGTGAGATTTGCATTATCGATGAACTGGCAAATTGTACAAATTATGTCCAACCCAGTACTAACAAGGTGTACTTAATGAAGTGGCTGGTGAGTGTACTGTACATTTCCATGTGCTATATATGATGAACTGTAAAGTTTAGTTTTTTTATTTTAAATCTTCAATCTACAAATTTTGAGCAAAAAAAAATAATGTTTACAAAAAGTGATTTCCTCTTTTTTTTTTACCCACATTTTCAAGAATGACTGTTGTTCTACTAAGATTGATAAACTTGTAAAAATCTGCTTCCAGACAAGGTTTAAACACACTTCTCTTTGGCCAAGAGTTATTGGCACAGCAGAGAATGAAGTGATCCATCAATCAATTTGCAGGTGAAGATTAAGTCTGACAAAGGGAGCATTGGGTGACACGGTTTGTTTGAGAGTGCTAATAGGTGTATTGATTTTAAAGGCTTGTTTACACTTCTATGGATATTGTTAATAGCTAGTAGAAAATAGTTATTTAATTGCGGAGGAGAACCTCATTTTTCATGTGTCTTTTTAATTTGGTGTTTATTTTAAGGGGCTTTCAATTTTGCTTTGTGCTTCAGATGTAAACCTGGAATTTCTACTTGCATAAATGTAACCTTTTTTTAATCCTGTTCAATATTCATGAACGCATTGCTGCTAGCTGGCTTGTAAATCCCAAAAGCAAATTACAAGCATCCTGAAACACATGTATATCACTTTCCAGAGAATTTTTACGGCATGGTGTAAATTTAGCAAATACTGTTTATTTTTGATCCCACTATAATAAAGCCAGTAAATCTTAGAGTAGTTGTTGAAATTATTGCTAAGAGGTAATTATAAGAAAAAGTGTCAGTTATGTGTTAAAGATGTGGCCCTTGTCCAGTGCCAATGTTCCCTCAGTGAGATATGCATGATTGTGCCAAAATGGCCAACGGGTTCAGTGACCAACTGACCTGTTGCTCCGCGTTAAGCCTCTGCCGCTCGTCTCATTTCCCAAATACAGAGCATGACGCATCCCATCCTTGCTGGATTCCTTTTCCTTCTCTTCTTCTTTACCTCGGTCGATATGCATGGTGAGCTCTTTCCAAACCGAACATTGCTGTCGTCATTCCCGTGGTGTGTGAAATTTGTAATGGATTGCCTTAAAAATGACAAAGAATAAAACAATGACAACATTTTTCAAAAAGATCGGAGATTTATTTATTTATTTATTTTTGGTATGCATGAGTTTCTTCTTCATGAATAATCCATCAGTTACAAACTGTTACAGCCTATTACAAACGGAAGCAGCCTTTAATAGAGGAGCAGAAAGATTTTCTCATTAATTCATGTTAGATGCCACGGCTGGGCCCTCCAGAGACAGGTGTGCATTTACATAAGTCCATTCGCTTTAGTTCCTCTGGGTTTGTCGCATTTATTCCAAGCGATTAGTCACTAGACTCTCTAGTCATGGTGATGAGCGAGTTTCCTGTCCTCAAAGGGTAAAAATATCCTTCTATAAAATATATCCTACTTGGGTAAAACTTTACAATATTGGTTCATTAATATGCAAAAGTCCAAGCTTAGCTTATGCACTGTTAATATTGAGTTGAAGAACTGAATCATTCATTAATATTTTCCTTTAGTCATTTAGCACAGGGGTTTTCAACCTGTGGGGTCCAACACCTATTAAAGGGGGTGTGAGAATATGAGGCGTGCATTCGAGTAAATTACGATAACGATTTTTATGCGTTCAATAGACTGAATCTGATTAACGTTAGTTACACGGTTAACTACCTGGC